TCCTGGAAAGTTAAGTTTCTGGATAGATTTTCACCATGAAGGAACTGAATCTTGATGATTTAGGATAGAAACACTTCTGCATTTGGTCACATATTTTCTGCCTTTTACTGATCATTATTTGAAATTTTATTTCATCAAAGGAAAACTGGCAATTGTGTGTTATAAAGAGAAGGTGCCTGTCTTCTCCTTATGTAGGGTATAGAACTGTTCATCTCTTTACTAAAGACTTAAGGCTTCTGTCTGCCTTTAGAATTTCTATTTCTTTCTTTGTTTCATTTGTTACCGCTTAGTTATCAGCACTTGCCCATTGCCTTCCTGTTTGCTGTATCTATTAGGTTGGTGCAAAAATGATTGTGATTTTTGCATTAAAAGTAATGCATTAGGTTCTCATAGAAGCACGAACGAACCCTTTTGTGAGCTGTGCATGGGATCTAGGTTGGCGCTCCTTGTGAGAACCTAATGCCTGATGATCTGTCACTGTCTTCCATCACCCCCAGACGGGACCATCTAGTTGCAGGAAAACAAGCTCAGGGCTCCCACTGATTCTACATTACAGCAAGTTGTATAATTATTTAGTTACATATTATGATGTAATAATAATAGAAATAAAGTACACAGTAAATGTAATGCGGTTGAATCATCCTGAAAATACCTCCTCTGGTCCCTGAAAAATTGTTTTCCGCAAAACCTGCCCCAAGGTTGGGGACTGCTGCTATAGAGGACTGGATTTGCAGTCTAGAAGTTATGTTAATGGCATTTATTTTAAGATTCACCGAGACTTTCCTTTTTTTTTTTTTAATGGAGTCTCTTGTTGCTCAGGCTGGAGTACAGTGGTGTGATCTTGGCTCACTGCAACCTCTGCCTTCTAGGTTCAAGAGATTCTCCTGCCCTAGCCTCCTGAATAGCTGGGATTACAGGTGCCCGCTGCCATACCCAGCTAATTGTTTTTGGTAGAGATAGGTTTCGGTAGAGATAGGTTTCAGTTTTCGGTAGAGATAGGTTTCACTGTGTTGGCCAGGCTGGTCTTGAACTCCTGACCTCAGGTGATCTGCTTACTTCCAGCTCCCAAAGTGCTAGGATTATAGGCATGAGCCCCCAGCCCAGCGTGTTTACGTCTGATTTATAAATTGTTGCTATAGTCAGCCCTTTGTATTTGTGGTTTCCACATCCATAGATTCAACCAACCCTGTACTGAAAATATCTGGGGGCAAAATGATGCTTACATCTATGTTGAACATGATGGACTCTGACACTGTTTCCTAAACAATGCAGAATAACAACTATTTACATAGCATTTACATTGTGTATTATAAGTAGCCTGGAGATGATTTAAAGTATGCGGGAGGATATGTGTATGTCACCATATTTTACAAGGCACTTGAGCATCTGCGGATTTCGTTATTCACAGGGGATCCTGGAACTAATCCCCTGTGGATACCAGGAGATGACTGTATAGGTGAGTCTCTGGCAACAGGTGAAGTGGCATTGGGCTTAGCAACTGTAAGAAAGCTTGGAGTGGCCTGAGGACAGATGACAGTATGACACATTGCTCACTTTAGCCAATGCTCAGAGTCTCTTAGTTCTTGAAACTTCACAAGCAATTTAGAGAAACTCGTTTTCCTTCTCTATCTCTGCATTCTATGTAATCCCACAGTTGAAGGCTGTTCTTATAGTGGAATTACTTATACCCCTTTCCAAAAACTTGAACCTGATTTTCATTTACAAACCCAAAGCAGTAAATACAATTTACTTTTATATTTGAATTATTTCCTTTGTAATGGTGTCTGTTGACAGCCAAAGCCTTTTGGATGGAAACATACCACCACTGCAATAAGTAAAAGCTGTAAAGCAGTGTTAAATACTGTATATAGAGCCCACATTTTTATATGCATTTCTTCTAGGACTTATGTACTGTATGTACTTTGGAAGTTTGGGAAGGTGCAGTAACCTCTATAATTCATTAGGTCGTTAGGCAGAATATCCAAAAGGCCTGCTAGAGAGGTCAGGTGTGGAAACAAGACAGCAATCTCTGTGTTACTCAGGCTTTGAGAAACTTCCTTCAGAATCATAGAACATTAGAACTGGGGAGGAGAGGGGCTTAAAAAACTTTAGTCTTTTTTTCCCAGCTCCAGTCTCTTGTAAATAATTAATAGTAAACCTAAAGCATATGAGAATTACCTGCTTCCTCTTTTCCCTTGCCCAACATGAAATTTGTTTTCTAATTGGAGTGTACTTGTTAACTTTGCATTCCCATAGAGGTGGTTTCCAGCCTCACACACCCTTGCGGCCTCCAGCCACAAGTCCCCTGGACCTCAGAGAGTACATGTACTGTGTGTGCACCCTGGTAACATGTTTCCTTAAAACTAGCACTACTGGACCCTCTAACTTTAGTACATCTCTTTTATGTCTCACTTTTCAGAGACCACCAAACTAACAACCCGAAACTCATTTGTCACTCTTGAAACATAATATATGAAGATGGAAAGCTAACGTAAAACTGGTAAGGGACTGAGTCATTTGGAAGATAACCTAATGTACGTGCCTGAAAAACAGGGATAAAAGGAAACAAAGGGACAAGAAGCAAGCCAGTTCACCCCAAACCCTACAAATGGTTGGGAATTAGAAACATGAAGTATTACAAATGGGGAAAGGGATGAAGTCTGATAAAACATAGGGAGGTCGACACTGTGTGTAGGAACAGTTAGACTTCCAGATCCCTATCTCCATACCCCACTCCACCTCTGCAGAAGAGATAGCTTCCCTTAGGGAGGAAGAACATGAGAGAAAATAAAGACACTAGAGGGAGAGTGTGAGATCAGCAAGGTAGTGGAATAAAAGATCCCTGGCATCACTCTCCCCACAAAAATACAAGTAGAAATTACTGAGAATCACAGATTACCTCCAGGAAGCTCACCAGATTCTCAGGACAAAGAGAAAAATCTCCTCAAGGTTCAGGTAGGGAGAAGGGGAAATAATCATCTTGAAATAAGTCGGAGCACTCCTTAGCAATGGTTTGCTCTCAAAGTAAACTATTTTATCAAGCCTCATTTTGTGCTTTGCCAGTGTGTAACTGACCTGGAGAAAGATGCGTTAGTCCATTTTGCATTGCTTTAAAAGAATACCCAAGACTGGGTAATTTATGAAGAAGAGGGGTTTATTTGGCTCACATTTCTGCAGGTTGTGCAGGAAGCATGGTGGCAGCATCTATCTGCTCAGCTTCTAGTGAGGTCTGAGGAAGCTGTGACTCACGGTGGAACACAAAGAGGAGCAGGCACATCACATGGCGAGAGAGAGAGGGGAGGGAAGTGCCAGACTCTTTAACAACCAGCTCTCACGTCAGCTCTCGTGAGAACTGTAGTAATAGAGTTAGAACTCACTGCAGAGACAACAAGCCTTTATGAGGCATCCGGCCCACATCCAACACTGGGAATCACATTTTAGCATGAGTTGGAGGGGACAAATACCCAAACTGTATCAGAAGGGAAACACCCAACCTCAGCCCTCTCTAGCCTTCCAGTCCCACCTAAGGAGGGAGAAGGGAACACGAGAAACCCTTGTGAAAGACACAGCCCAGGCACACAGGCTCACTAAAAGACTGAGAACTAACTCTGATTATAGCGTATTCCCCGCACCACACAGACACCTTACCGCCATGCCGACCAGTCTCCTGTATGATGGTGGTGGATTACTGCTAAACCAACTGCAATTTTCCGACCCTATTTTAATAAGGAGTTTTTAGGGAAACCAAGAAACAATAAGAGATACAAAAACAAGAATGCAATTTCAGCAACATGGATGCAGCTGGAGGCCATTATCCTAAGTCAATTAATGCTGAAACAGAAAACCCCAAAACTACATGTTCCCAGTTCATAAGTGGGAGCTAAACATTGGGTATTCATGGACATAAAGATGGGAACAGTAGGCACTGGGGACTGCAAGAGAGGGGAGAGAGGGAGGGGGGAGAGGAAGGGAGGAGGAGTGAGAGAGGGAGGGAGGGAGAGAGGGAGAAAGAGGAGGGGAGAGAGGAAGAGGAAGAGAGGGAGGGGAGGAGGGAGAGAGGGAGAGGGATGGAGAGAGGAGGGGAGAGAGGAAGGGTAATGGAGAGAGGAAGGGGACAAGGAGGGAGAGGATCAGACGGGGGAGAGGTAGGGGAGAAGGGAGAGAGGGAAAAGAAAGGGAGGGGAGAAAGTTGAAAACCTGCCTCTTGTGTACTTTGCCAACTTCCTGGGTATTGGGATCAGTTGTACCCCAGACTCCAGCATCACACAGAATACCGTTGTAACAAACCTGCACATGTACCCCTGAATCTGAAATAATTCATTTAAAAAAAGGACACTAAAGAAAATTTAACCTACAGTCACACAAAACAGTCAACACAACACAACTCTTAACCAGATAAGGCCTATTTACTGCAGTTTCTTTTACCCAATATGTCATGTCTGATTTCAACAAAAACTTAGAAAACATGCTAAAAGGTCAAAATCAAAGTTGCATGAGGCCTAGCAAGAATCAGAACCATTGCCAGACTCACATATGGCAGCGATTTTGGAATTATGACTGGAAATTTAAAATAATTATTATCAGTATACTAAGGGCTCAAATGTAAAAAGTGAACAGCATGTAGGAAAGGTGGGTAATGTAAGTAGACAATAGAAACTCTAAGAAAGAACCCAAATGAAATACTAGAAATAAACAGTACTGTAACAGAAATGAAGAATACCTTGGGACTTATTGGGAGACTGGAAGACAATAGATAACCCAGGAAAGAATCAATGAGCTTGCAGATAAAAAGAATGAAAATGACAGAACATGGCAGGGCTTGGTGGCTCACACTATATCTCAGCACTTCACAAGGCCCAGGTGGGAGGATCACTTGAGACCAAGAGTTGAAGACCAGCCTGGGAAACATAGACATGTGTTGACTCCACAAAAAAGGAAAAGAAAAAGACAGAATGGGATATCCAAAACTGTGGGACAGTTACAAAATTATTTATATTTTAGTACTTGCTTTGCTGCACATACACTAAAATTGGAACAGTACAGACAAGATTGCACAACATGGCTTCTGTGCAAAGATGATATGTAAGTTCATGAAGCATAAAAAGCATCTTTTTAAACAAAATTTGTAATGTACATACATTTACATGTAATTGTATACACACAATGGGAATAACAGAAGAAAAAAGAGAAAGAAATAAAATGAACACTTGAAGTAATAATGGCTCAGAATTTTCAGAACTAAAGACAGCAAACCACAAATCCAGAAAGTTAAGAAAACAAGCAAGATAAATATCAAAGGCCAGGTTTGGTGGCTCACATCTGTTAATCCCAGCACTTTGGGAGGCCGAAGTAGGTGAATCACTTGAGGTGAGGAGTTCAAGGTCAGCCTGGCCAACATGGTGAAACCCCATCTCTACTAAAAATATGAAAATTAGTTAGGCCTGGTGGCAGGCACCTATAATCCAGCTACTCAGGAGCCTGAGGCAGGAGAATCACTTGAAAGTGGGAGGTGGAGCTTTCAGTGAGCTGAGATCATGCCACTGCACTCCAGCCTGGGTGACAGAGTAAGACTATCTCACATACATACATACCAAAAAATCTGTGCCTAGGCATATCATATTCAAATTGTAGAAAATCAAAGACAACATCCTGAAAAAACCTAGAGGACAAAACACACCTTATCTATGGCAGAACAAGGGTAAGAGTAATACTGAATTTCTCCACAGAAAACATTCAAGCAAGAATAGAGTGGAGTGAAATATTTATGTATTTATTATGTTTTTAATTTTATTTTTGTGGTTACATGGTAGGTGTATATGTTTATAGGGTATGTGAGATATTTTGATACAGGTATACAATGTATAGTAATTACATCAGGATGAATGAGGTACCCATCACCTCAAGCATTTATCATTTCTTCATATTATAAACCATCTAGTTGTTATGCTTTTTAGTTATTTTTAAATATATAGTAAATTATGGTTGACTGTAGTCATCCTGCTGTGCTATCAAATGCTAGATCTTATTTTTTCTACCTAATCATATTTTTGTATCTATTAACTATCTCCTCCCTGCCCCCCACCTGCCCACTGCCCTTCCCAGCCTCTGGGAACCATTGTTCTATTCTCTGTTTCCACGAGTTCAACTATCTTAATTTTTAGATCCCACAAGGAAGTCAGAACATGCATTTTGTCTTTCTGAGCCTGGCTTATTTAACTTAACATAATGATCTCCAGCTCCATCCACGTTACTGTAAATGACAGGATCATTGTTATTATTATTATTGTTATTATTTTTTGAGACAGGCTTGCCCTGTCGCCAGGCGCCAGACAGGAGTGCAATAGCACAATCTCATCTCACTACATCCTCCACCTCCCGGGATCAAGCAATTCTCCTGCCTCAGCCTCCCGAGTAGCTGGGACTACAGGCATGCGCCACTGTGCCCAGCTCATTTTTGTATTTTGATAGAGACGGGGTTTCACTATTGGCCAGATGGTCTTGATCTCTTGACCTTGTGATCCGTCCGCCTCGGCCTCCCAAAGTGATGGGATTACAGGCGTGAGCCACCACATCCGGCCAGGATCATTGTTTTTTATAGCTCAATAAGTACTCTATTATATATATGTACCATATTTCCTTTATCCCTTTATCTGTTGATGGACACGTAGATTGATTCCAAATCTTGGCTATTGTGAACAGTGCGGCAGCAAACATGAGAGTGCGGATATCTCCTTGATTTACTGATTTCCCTTCTTTTGGGTGTATTCCTAGCAATGGATTGCTAGATCATATGGTAGTTGCATTTTTAGTTTTTTGAGGAACCTCCATACTGTTCTCCATGGTGGTTGTATTAATTTACATTCCCACCAGCAGTGTATCAGGGTTCTCTTCTCCACATCCTCACCAGCATTTGTTATTGCCTGTCTTTTGGATAAAAGCCATTTTAACTGGCCTGAGATGATATCTCATTTTTGATTTGCATCTCTTTAATGATGAGTGATGTTGAGTGCCTTTTCATACACCTGCTTGCCGTTTGTATGCCTTCTTTGGAGTAATGTCTATTCTGATCTTTTGCCCATTTTTAAATTGTATTACTAGATTTTTTTTCTTATTGAGTTGTTTGAACTCTCTATATACTCTGTTTATCGCTTGTCAAATGGATAGTTTTAAAATATTTTATTCCATTCAGTGGATTGTCGCTTTACTTTGTTGATTGTATCCTTTGCTGTGTAGGCCGGGCGCGGGGGCTCACACCTGTAATCCCAGCACCTTGGGAGGCCAAGGTGGGTGGATCACGAGGTCAAGAGATCGAGACCATCCTGGTCAACATGGTGAAACCCCATCTCTACTAAAAATACAAAAATTAGCTGGACATGGTGGTGCGTGCCTGTAATCCCAGCTACTCAGGAGGCTGAGGCAGGAGAATTGCCTGAACCCGGGAGGCGGAGGTTGTGGTGAGCCGAGATCACGCCATTGCACTCCAGACTAGGTAACAAGAGCAAAACTCTGTCTCAAAAAAAAAGAGGTTTTTAAACTTGCTGTGATCTCATTTGTTCACTTTTGCTTTGGGTGCCTGTCTTTGTCGGGTATAACTCAAGAAATGTTTGCTTAGTGCAATGTTCTGGAGAGTTTTTCCAGTGTTTTCTTTTAGTAGGTTCATAGTTTGACATTTTAGATTTAAGTCTTTAATTCATTTTGATTTGATTTTTGTATATGGAAAAAAATGGAGGTCCAGTTTTTTGTTTTTTGTTTTTTTGGTTTTTTTTTTGAGACAGGGTCTCACTCTGTCACCCAGGCTGGAGTGCAGTGGTGTGATCACAATTTATTGCAACCTCCACCTCCCAGGTTTAAGCAGTTCTCATGCCTCAGTCTCCTGAGTAGCTGGAATTATGATGGTATGCCACCATGCCTGGCTAATTTTTGTATTTTGAGTAGAGATTGGGTTTCACTATGTTGCCCAGGCTGGTCTCAAACATCTGGCCTCAAGTGATCCACTAGCCTTGGCCTCCTAAAATGCTGGGATTATAGGTGTGAGCCACCATGCCCAACAAGTATCTAGTTACATTCTACTACATATGGATATTCAGTTTTTTCAGGACCATTTATTGAAGAGACTGTTCTTTCCCCAGTGTATGTTCTTGGCACATTTGTTGGAAATGAGTTCACTGTGGATGTCTGGATATGTTTCTGGATTATTCTATTTTATTGGTATGTGTGTCTATTTTTATGCCAGTACCATGCTGTTTTGGTTACTATAACTCTGTAATATAATTTGAAGCCAGGAAATGTTATTCTTCCACTTTTGTTTTTTTGCTGAGGATAGCTTTGATTATTCTGGGTCTTTCATGGTTTCAGATAAATTTTAGAATTTTTTTTTAATTTCTGGGAATTGTTTTATTTGTAGCTATTATAAATGGGATTACTTTCTTGAATTCTTTTTCAGATTGTTCAGTGCTGGCTTATAGAATTGCTACTAATTTTTGTATGTTGATTTTGTTTCCTTCAACTTTATCAGTTCTAGTAAATTTTGGTGGAGTCCTGGTTTTTCCAAATACAAGGTTATATCAATCATAGACAAGGGTGGTTTGACGTCTTCCTTTCTATTTTGGTTGCCCTTTCTTTCTATTGTCTCACTGCTCTAAGACTTGCAGAGTGAAATATTTAAAGTATTGAAAGAAAAACCCCACCAACTTATGGTAACTCCATGTTTCTAGTTGGTAGTTGCTTTGGCAAAACACCTTGGAGTCATTCTTGATTTTTCTTGTCCCTCACATCCCACATCCTGTCTGTTAGGGTATCTATATGTAATTAGGAAAGAAAATAGTAATCCTCCACTTCTCCCCATCTCTGCCTCTATCTTCTTGGTCCAAGCCATCATTATCTCTTCCCTGGATTATAACTATAGACTCCAGACTACAGCCTAAACAGAGCAACTAGAGTGACTCTTTTAAAATGAAGTTCAATCTGGTACCACAGAAGTGTCCCATTTCACTACCAGTCTGTCAATTACCTCATTTCTCTGTGCCTCAGTTGCTTCATCTGTAAAAAAATAGTAATACCTCCTCAAGAGATTGTGTGATTTGATGAGGAGGCACTTAATGCCAACCTGGTGCACAGAAAAAAGTAAAGTTTAGCTGTTATTATTTTTATTTCCAATTTGCCCATCAAATCAGAAGCTTGCTTTTGTCTTCTCATGCTTCAGTGCTTGAGGTGGGAGGGTTTGTAGAAACATTTGGATTCTGAATACCTAGGTCATTGCTGTCAAGTAGAATCCTCCATCTTTTAGTGCCTCAAAATATTATGTCCAGAGACCTTGTTAACGAAAGAAAATTTCGTTTCTAGTTCTGCCATTTTAGGCACGGTAGTGGGTCAGTTTCCTGCACTGCATAGAAATTCCTTTGTCATTGGAAAGTGTTGATTTTGCCGGTATTACAGTCCCTAACTTCCGAGGCATTTGTTTCCTGGAGGATGCTGTGAGGAGGAAATCTCCACACAGCTGCCCACTGATTTTTTGCTTGAGCCTTTATCTGATATTTTACCCTAGACCCTTTTGGTTTTTTTTTTTTTTTTTGGGGGGTGGGGAGGAAGGCAGGAAGGAAGGGAATAAGGACGGTAGGGAGGAAGGAAGGGATGAAGGAGGGAAGGAAGGGAGGAAGTGGGGAGGGAGGGAGGGAGGGAGGGAGGGAAGGGAAGAAAGGAAATCAAGCAATGAAAGAGACATTGCCGACCTGGATCTAGAGGTTTACAAGTTGATTTCTTTTTTTTTTGAGAGAAGGAAAGAAAAAAAAAAAATAAGTAAAGGAGCGGAAGAAAGAGGAAGAGAAAGAGGGAGAGTAAATGGAAATATTGCTTTATTTTGAAAAAAATTGGGTATTATTAATGGCCAATCAATGTTTCATTTAAACTTATGGGTAGGTGTGATGTGGTATTGACAAGAATGTATATTTTGTGTATTTGAAGTGGAGAGCTCTATAAATATTTATTAAGTTTACTTGTTCTGGATCTGAGTTCGAGTCCTTGATATCCTTATTAATTTTCTGTCTCATTGAATCTAAGTCTCCTATCTGGGTGTTAGGATCGTTAGCTCTTGTTGTTGCATTGATCCTTTTACCACTATATCTTTGTTGCTTTAAAATCTATTTTATCCGATACAAGAATTGCAACTCCTGCTTTTTATTTATTTATTATTTATTTTTGCTCTCCATTTGGTTGGTAAATCTTTCTCCATCCCTTTGTTTTGAGTCTTTGTGTATCCTTGCACGTGAAACAGGTCTGGATGTAACATGCCGTTGGGTTTTGGCTGTGTCTTTTGATTGGGAATTCAGTCAATTTAAATTTAGGGTTACTGCCATTTGATGTTGACTGGCTGTTTTATCCATTTGTTGGTGTAAATTCTTCTTTATGTGGTGCTCTTTACTTTTTGGTGTATTTTTAGAAAGGCTAATACTGGTTGTTTCTTTCTGTGTGTAATGCTTCTTTCAGAAGCTCTTGTAAAGCAGGCCTGGTGGTAATAAAATCTCTGAGTTCTTGCTTGTTCATAAAAGATTTTATTTTTCCTTCAGTTGTGAAGCTTAGTTTGGCTGGATATGAAATTCTGGGCTGAAGGTTCTGTTCTTTGAGGATGTTGAATATTGGCCCCACTCTCTTCTGGCCTGTAGAGTTTCTGCCGAGAGATCTGCTGTAAGTCTGATAGGCTTGCCTTTGTGGGTAATCTGACCTTTCTCTCTGGCTGCCCTTAGTATCTTCTCCTTCGTTTCAACCCTGGTGAATCTAACGATTATGTGCCTTGGGGTTGGTCTTCTTGAGGAATATCTTTGTGGTGTTCTCTGTATTACCTGGGGTTGAATGTTGACCTGCTTTGCTAGTTTAGGAAAATTTTCCTGAGTAATATCCTGAAGGGTATTTTCCAGCTTGGATTCATTCTCTCTGTCGCATTCAGGTACACCTATCAAACGTAAATTTGGTCTTTTCACATAGTCCCACATTTCTTGGAGACTTTGCTCATTCCTTTTTATCCTTGTTTCTCTAATCTTTTCTTCACGTTTTATTTCATTAAGACTTTGACCTCTGATATCCCTTCTTCTGCTTGAACCATTCGAGTGTTTAAACCTGTGCATACTTCTCGGAGTTCCTGTATTGTATTCTTCAGTTCCATTAATTCACTCATACTCCTCTCTAAGTTGTCTATTCTCAATAGGATTTCATCAAATCTTTTTTCAAAGTTCCTAGTTTCTTTAAGTTGGGCTACAACATGTTCTTTTAACTCACCGAAGTTTGTTATTATCCATTCCTTGAAGAGTGATTCTGTCATCAGGAGGCGCTCATTCTCCATCAAGCCTTGTTCCATTGTTGATGTGGAACTGTGATCATCTTTAGAGGGAGAGGCGTTCAGACTTTGAGTATTCTCAGCTTTTTTACACTGGTTTCTTCCCGTCATTGTAAATTTATCCTCCTGTTGTCTTTGAAATTACCAACTTTCAAATTAGGTCTCTTGAGTGGACGTCCAGGTTGTTAGTTCCCAGGGCCAGAGCAGCGGCGTTAAAACTGATGGTGCTTTGCTGCCCAGGATTCTCCTGTCGGGCTTCCTTCTTGTTTCCGTAATAGGCGACTCTGCCTTCCCCGGGCTCCAAACCTCGGTCAGAAGGGGAACCGGTCCTGTTTACTCTGCGCCGAGCTGCCGCATCGAGGTGCCGGCGGAACCGCTGCGCCGACCACCAGAGTCGCGCTGGCGACTCGTGTGTTTCCACCACTGGGGGATCTTCTGCTTCGTGAGCGACCAGACTTTGTCTGAAAGTGTGGCGTCCTCTAGTTCTCCGCGCCTTCCCTAAGAGCTGCAATCCCGGGATGTTAGCGATCGGCCATCTTGGATCGTTCTCCGACCCTTTTGGTTTTTTATCACATTTGTAGCGTCACATGCCTGGATTTTGTTTTTCTTCGTATAAGCCTTACCTATCTGGGACTGTCAGTACTTGGAAGGTACTTAAAATGTTGAATGTTTCCACTCCTATTTCCTGTGATGCTTTACTTATATTTTTAACAAGCCAAAAAGAGGAAGAAAAAGTTCACCATAGATTTGCTAACTGCACTATAAGATGCAAAGAATGTGGTTTAATGGAAGGGCACTGGGCTGGGGCCTCTCAGCCTTGCTCTGCCACTGAACCTGTATGACTGCTTGGGCTTGAGTTAAACCTTCTGCCGAAATTCTAGCAGCGGAGACTAGCTAAAAGAGGAGATTCGGTGTCTGAGAGAATGTGAAAAGAAAAGTCATCTGAGACCCCAACCCACTGACAACAGAAGAGGGACTGGGGCAGACCGACCTGCACTGGTTCCATTCAGCAGCCAGTGCACAGAGCAGAGTGGCCTGTAGGACTGAGCAGTGCTGTCCCCCAGGCCTGGAAAGCAGGGGGGTGGCTGGGGGCTGGGACTTGTTTCTTGAATAGAGGGAGAAGGGAAGACACTTGAAGATCTGATAAAGAAACAAAACATTCTAGTAGTTTCAGCCTCTCCACTGGGTGCACTGTCCTCTTGCCCCAGACAGTAGGTGGGTGAAGCGGATGGAAGTGAGTGCTCCCATGACACAGTGCTCCCAGGGTTCAGACACTTCCCACTCCAGCAAGCTGGAACTATCTAAGCTGTGGGGTCAGGGTAAAACAAATGACTTTTTTTTTTTTGAGATGGAGTTTGCTCTTGTTGCCCAGGCTGGAGTGCAATGGTGTCATCTCGGCTCATGGCAGCCTCCACCTCCCAGATTCAAGTGATTCTCCTACCTCAACCTCCTAAGTACCTGGGATTACAGATGCCCACCACCACGCCCGGCTAATTTTTTCTATTTTTAGTAGAGATGGGGTTTTCCCATGTTGGCCAGGCTTGTCTCGAACTCCTGACCTCGGGTGATCTGCCCACCTTGGCTTCCCAAAGTGCTGGTTTTACAGGCATGAGCCACCGTGCCCTGCCAAACAAATGATTCTTATGTGCAGATTCTTTAGGGAGCAGCTAGGCCAGCTCCCAGTGACGGGGGACCCTGTGAGGGTGTGAGGGAAATGTTGGTAGCTTGGAGATACTCCTAGGGGCTGCAGTTTTGTTATCCTGCAAAAGGAACTAGGAGGAGCTTGTTCCTAAACCGTGTGAGTTCTGTGTTGGTTGCTTGAGAGCGATTGCCTAGGGCTTGCTTCCTCTCAGCCATAGTGACTGGGATTTGGCAGGCAGGGTGATTTTCTTGTTTTTCAGGTACCCTGAGCCCTCTCCTAGCCAGCCCACATTTGTGAGCACTTGGTAAACACAGAGCAGGAGGGAATGGCAGTGAATGGGGATTTTTCTCAGTCCTGCCCACTGGCTGCCCTCGAACTCACAGGCTTCTCCCTTATTCTAAACTCACCAGCAGTTCCAGGCATGGTTGCTCACACCTGTAATCTCAACACTTTGGGAGACTGAGGAGGGTGGATCACCTGAGATCAGGTGTTCAAGACCAGCCTGGCCAACGTGGTGAAACCCCATCTCTACTAAAAATACAAACGAATTAGCTGGCCGTGGTGGCAGGTGCCTGTAATTCCAGCTACTCGGGAGGCTGAGGCAGGAGAATTGCTTGAACCTGGGAGACAGAGGTTGCAGTGAGCTGAGATCACTCCACTGCACTCCAGCCTGGGCAACAAAAGTGAAACTCTGTCAATAAATAAATAAATCCCCTCTCAGTGGAGCAGTAAACCCATCTACGGTCAGGCATAGCTCGTATCCTGAAATAGTGGGGACCAGACTTGTTTCCTTAAACTCACACCTGCTTTGTTTTTCCAGGTCTATAAGGGAGAATTCCAGCTACCTGACTTTCTTAAAGAAAAACCACAGGTACTGTGTCTGCTTCTTTCTTCTGATAATAGATTGGCTCTTGCATTGAAGTTTTTTTTTTAAAGAGATAATAAAATTAAAAAGAAACAAGAAAACAAAAAAAAAGAAAAAGAAAAGGGATAATCATATGTGCTAGTGGAAGAAAGATTAGTTTCTGCGACTTGTTGATTTTAAAAATAATTTAACACAGTCTTAATTTCAGAGAGCTCAGTGTTTCCCAAAACTAGGGAAATACTTTATTGATAACCAAATTCTGATTGCACAAGCCACCAGTGCTCCAGCCATCCAGTGCCTAATTCAAAATAAAAATATGCAGTGACCCTCTCTGTTTTTACTGTGTGTGCTATACATCCATGGCCCTTTGACTTTTCTCATTTGGAGCCTAGAAGACTTATAAATATATTTCGCACACAGCCACTGGCCCTTGGGAAGGGTGGCGAAAGTTTAAGGGATTAGAGCTATCACAGTGGCTCATGCCTGTAATCCCATCACTTTGAAAGGTCGAGGTGGGTGGATCACTTGAAGTCAGGAGTTCAAGACCAGCGTGGCACCATGGGGAAACCCCATCTGTACTAAAAATACAAAAATTAGCCAAGCACTATGGCAGAAACCTGTAATCCCAGCTACTTAGGAGGCTGCAGCAGAAGAATTGCGTCAACCAGGAGGCGGAGGTTGCTGAGCCAAGATAATGCCACTGCACTTCAGTCTGGGTGACAGAACAAGACTCTGCCTCAAAAAAAGAAAATATTAGCTAGGCATGGGGGTGCAGGCTGATGGCTCCAGCTACCTGGGAGGCTGAGGCAGGAGGATTGCTTGAGGCCGGGAGGTAGAGGTTGCCAAGTCTAGATTGTGCCACTGCACTGCAGCCTGGGTGACAGAGTAAGACCTTGTCTCAAAAATAAAAATATTAAGCAGATTCAGAGTTTTCCCTGTAACGTCTGGTCTCACTGACTTGCATTCCAGTCCTATTTCCTGGGTTGGAAAGAAACAGGGAGTCTCTCAGCTGACATGACTAGAGGAGTCCAGTGTGAAGTCTAGTTGCCTGAAGCAAGCCCGGAGTAAATGGGCTGCCCTCTCTGAGGGAAGCCATGTCTCACACCAGAGTTGAAGCCTCTTTCTTCCTCGATCCTTGTCTGAAAACAGCCACTAGTAATTGATACATATGACTTGAGTGTTTTAAAGTACTTTCAAAGCATATTCTTACTCACATATATTTAATATTCATCCACTCATTCATTTCAGTTATTCACCAGTTGTTTACTTAGTGCCTACTATGGTGAAGAATTGGAGTAAGTCCTCAGTAATGGGGGTAAGAAAAACTTTCTCAAGGAGCTCCTGATACATCCAGAAGATTCCGACCAACTCATGCAGACAAGGGGTCACAGAGCTCTGGGCCCAGGCTGGGCATGGTGTCCCAGAAACCTGGGCAGATTCATGAACAGAGTCACTCACAGGCTGTGGAAGTTGGAGCCAGAGAATATTCCAACAGGTTGTCTTGAAGGAATATAAAATCCAAAAGTGTTCAGGTGGGGTGGCTCACGCCTGTAATCCCAGCATTTTCAGAGGCTGAGGCGGGCAGATCACTAGGTCAGGAGTTTGAGACCAGCTTGGCCAACAAAGTGAAATCCCGTCTCTACGAAAAAAAAAAAATTAGCTAAGCATGGTTGCGCGCACCTGTAATCTCAGCTATTTGGAAGGCTGAGGCAGGAGAATCACTTGAACTCAGGAGGTGGAGGTTGCAGTGAGCCGAGATTGTGCCATTGCACTCCAGCCCTGGTGACAGTTTGAGACTATATCTTAAAAAAAAACAAAAACAAAAAACTCATCTGTAGATTATAGATCATTTGTAGATCATTCCTATGAATCATAAGATTTTTTTTTAAATTGGGCAAAAAGCCTGGGCAACATAGCAGGACCTCATCTCTATCAAAAAATTAGCTGGGCGGGACCACGTGTGGTGGCTCACACATATAATCTCAGCACTTTGGGAGGCTAAGTCAGGTGGATCACTTGAGGTCAGGAGTTCAAAACCAGCCTGGCAAATATGGCAGAACCTCATTTCTAAAAACAAATACCAAAAAAATTAGCCAGGCATGGCAGCACATGCCTGTAATCCCAGTTGCTCCTGAGGCTGATGCAAGAGAATCACACTGCTTGAATTCAGGAGGCAGAGGTTGCTGTGAAGTGAGATCACGCCACTGCACTGCAGCCTTGGCTACAAAACAAGATTCCATCTCAAAAGAAAAAAAATTAGCTGAGCGTGGTGACATGCTTGGGAAGCTGAGACAGGATGATCCGTTGAGCCCAGGCTGTGAACTGTGATTGTGCCACTGTACTCCAGCCTAGGTTACAGAGGGAAACCTTGTCTACTACGAAAGCAAAAAATCATGGAGAAGCACGCATGCACACACATAGAAATGGGCCTATAAGATCTTCAGTTTCACCTCTAGTGTGAATGAGTTGACACCTATAGAACTTTCAGTTTCAATCATTAGCTAGAGTGGTTCATAAAACTTGGGAAAGTGCAGTACTTAACAGTTACAGTTTTATAAAGGATACAGATCAGGAGCAGCCATAAGATAGGAGTAGGTCGGGGAGGGTTCTGAGTGCAGAGCTTCTGCTCCTGCTTTCTATGGAATTGGCGTCATCCTCCCGGCACACCCATGTGTTCACCAACTGGGAAGTGCCACTGAACTTCCACACCCAGCATTTTTATTGGGGCTTATTCATGCAGGCAAGATTGATCAAGTCAGTGGTCATGTGTTAGAACTCCCCAGAGTTGAGGCGGGCTCCAAACCCCAGCCCCCTGACCCCATGGTTGGTCTTTGTGGTGACCAGCCCCATCCTGAGTCATCTCATAACATAAACTCGGGTGTGATCCAAGGGGCTTAGAAATAACAAAGACACTCTTGTTACCCAGGAAATTCCAAGGATTCAGTGTTTCCCTCCTAGGAACCAGGGGGAGAGGCCAGTCAGATTCTTGCGCATGCAGCAGTGGTGCACTGAATTCATCTGAAAGTGAACAGAACCCACGGGCCACCCCTGGTGTTTCAGTGGGGCAGTCACTTCTCATGCTGACCAACTTCAAGAGCATTCAAACTTATCTTCTTTCCTTCAACAGACTGAGCAAGTGGAGTAGCAGAACCAGGAACCTCTTCCATACATGAGGTGAGGGTTGGGGGACATTGCTGGGTCCTTCTGTGGCCCACTCGAGCTCTTGCAGGGTGCTGGGTGGCTGAGGCGGAGAGCACAGCTCTGGAGTCCATCTGCTTGGGTTGGAATCCTGGCTCTTTCTGTGTGGCAGCGAGTGCATTACTTCACCTATAAAATGAGGATATTAACAAGAGCATGGTGGTGAGACTGAATCGTCATCCAAGAGCCTGGCTCATCATCAGCACCCAGTAGTGTTGGTATTTTCTTTATGAACCATGAAATATTTCAGCTGAAAGGGACCTGGAGGCCCTCAAGCCCAACTCCCTGTTTGCTGAAAAGGAAGCTGGTCCTGGAGGAAACAGGTCATTTGTCAAGATCATAGTCCAGAGGCAAGGAGACTCAGAACTCAGGAATGGCTGCTTGCTTCTGCTTTCCCTGTTGAGCCGGGGCCCCAGCTGCCCACCCCTACCTCCAGGGGCTTTCTCTGTGCGCTGGACTTGCAGATGTTTTTGCACTATTGCAGTCTTTTTTGTTGTTTCTTGGTTGGTTTTTCAAGTTTACCCTTGCTTGTTTTAATGTATTATGGATAGCTTAGATGAGTAACCCACGTTGTCATGTTGGATTAGGCGTTATATTGTGGACAAGGCCAGCCCTGCCTTCTACACCCTCTGAGTACATGGCCCTTATCAGCCACATGACCGGGGACACCAGCTCAAAAGCTGGAATCTGAGCCCAGATCTCCAGATGCAGCTGCACAGAGCTTATGCCCTTTCCCAGACTTTCAGTCTCTGCTTATCCACCCAGACTCACTTAAGATCAGTTTTTTTTTTCAAATGATATGGTAAAGCCTTTGATCAGTTGGAACTTGAACAGCCTTTTAAAAAATCTGATATTGGCTGGGCAGCATGTCTCAAGACTGTAATCCACATACTTTGGGAAGCCAAGGCAGGCAAATCACAAGGTCAAGAGTTCGAGACCAGTCTGGCCAACATGGTGAAACCCCATCTCTACTAAAAATACAAAACTTAGCTGGGCGTGGTGGGCACAGCTACTCGGGAGGCTGAGGCAGGAGAATCACTTGAACCCAGGAGGCAGAGGTTGCAGTGAGCTGAGATAGCATTATTTCATTCCAGCCTGGGAGACAAGAGTGAGACTTCATCTCAAAAAAAAAATACAGAACTTATCTGGCCTTGGTGGTGGGCACCTGTAGTGCCAACTACTTGGGAGGCTGAGGCAGGAAAATCAGTTGAACCCAGAAGGTAGAGAGGTTGCAGTGAGCCAAGATCGTGCCACTGCACACTCCAGCCTAGGTGACAGAGCGAGACTCTGTCTCAAAATCTGATATTGTTAGTGATTTTTTTCTCAGTTTACTTGTTGCCTTTTGTTTTTATTTTTACTTTATATAATAATTGTGCATACTCCATACTAGGCATAAAATACCAAGCACTGTATTTGTGTATATATATATATATATATATATGATATATCTAACAGATATGCTAAATTATAGATACAGCTATATGTAAAATTGTAGTCAGTTCTCAAACCACTGTGACAAGCAGGCAGTATTCCTGTTTTACTAGTAAGAAAACAGGTTAAATATGACTTGCTGTGCATTGATGGATTATAGATATAAGAAGCACATGGACACTGCTCCATCCCCTCAAAATCCCAGATGGCAGAGCTACTAATTGATAGGTTCTAGGATTCAGGTTTCCTTTCTGCTAAGGAGCAAATGCAGAATGTTGGACTTATGCTCGCGGATCTGCATATTTAGCAGCAGCTATCAGCCCTTGAATAATTTTGTTTATACGAAATGCTTTCAGAGTTCACAGGTAGCCTCCTTG